AGCCAGGAGCACAAGGACCTGCGCAAAGCACACGTGCCAGTTTGCTCTCCCTCTCTCCCAGGCTGGGAAGGGCTGCCAGGGCTTGCAGCCTTTCCAACTTCGAGCTCTGGGCTCCACGGTGTTATTTTCTGTGCCTCTGAGAGCTGTGAGTGGTGGCTGGTGCCCTCCGTTTCCATCACCCTGTTTGGGATCTCTGAAAGCGCGCTGTGTTGGATGCTCCCTGCTGCTGTGCGCAGCCCATCTTCAAGGACACATTTGCAAATGCTGCAGTGATACAAAGCCATTAATTTTTATTTTTTTCCCCATTCTCACTGTATAAAGGAGCTGTTTTTTCCCCACCACCCCCAAATAGCAGCGTTGGGGCAGATGGTCCATCCAGGGTGATGGTTCCTGGTCCCTAAGGCAGAAAGATGCTGCAACCAGAAAGATGCTGGAACCAGAAAGATACTGGGGAGCCGGGAGCTGTGCCCTGGGGCTGGGAGGAGGCACGGTGTCACACAAGGGATGTGAAACCCATTAGCGTTTTATTCCTCAAAGCCCACACGCGTGGTGGGGATGGCAACCCCTTGATGGCGAGTTAAGTGAATAGATGCGACGAGACACGTTTGCTTTATCAAAATACTAATCGGTGCCGGGGGGATTGGGTGTGTTTTGGGGAACGGGCGAGGCAGCGTGGCGGGGCGTGGGTGACTGGGAGCGATGGGGACCGCAAACACAGCTGTGTGTGTGCCTGTGCGTCCTGGTAACTCGAACTCATCGCTGCTGGGACTTCCTGCCTCCGATTGCTGCCAGAGCTGTGGTACCTTTTATTAATCTGCAGAGATAATTGCAGTTTTAATGTTACCAGCGGGGGAGTTTGTATGAGGCGGAGGCGTTCCTAGACGACTGCTGCAGGTACCATGCTGGAGGCAGCCGACGTGACTCAGCATCTTCGCTGGTGTTTTTTTTTTTAGATTAGGTCTCAAATTGGCACCGATTTTAAAAATTAGGAGAGGATCTGAAGGCAGGGATGCTGGAAAGTGATCCCGGGAGGTGCTTTGGAGCCGTGGAAAGCGGTTTGAGCTGTGATCAGCTGCGCTCGTTCCTGCCAAAGGCAGTTTGGGAGCAGGGCTGCTGCCAAGCCCGCAGTGGAAGGGCAGCGCCTGGCCCTGCCCTCGGTGTTTGATGGAACTGGTTGGACAGATGAGGGTGTGGGGAAGAGCTGCACGTGCATAAGAGATGGGGAAATGCTCCGTGCTGGGGGAACATGAGCGCTCCTCTCGCCTTTTCATCAAGAAGCTAAAAAATGTCAGTGTATATCACTTGGTCAGGGGTGATGGTGGGCATCTGGTGGCTCTTGGGTCTAGCAAACAGCCCACGTCTGGAAGCCAAGGCTGGATGAGTGCTAGCCAGAATAAGGCAGAGGTGCAGCCATATATTTATTTATTTTTCATAGAATCAATGAATGGTTTGGGTTGGCAGGGACCTTTAAAGGTCATTCAGTCCAATCCACTAGATCTTGTCGCTCACAGCCCCATCCAGCCTGGCCTTGGATGTTCCCAGGGACAGGGCATCTACCACCTCACTGGGCAACCTGGGCCAGTGTTTCACCACCCTCATCGTACAAAATTTCTTCCTTATATCTAGTCTGAATCTGTCCTCTTTCAGTTTGAAACCCTTATACCTCCTTTAAGCACTGGAACAAGCGCTTTCAGAAAATGTCCTCAGCCTCATCTCAGTGTCCTGGGTCCAAAGCACTGGCAGCTCCAGGAGGGAGCTTGAGCTTGACAAAAGTGCATTCAGCCCTCAATGTTGAGAGAAGTGGATAAGATTAACAGTCTGTGATGCTTGGGAGTGCCATGCTCCAGGAGAAGAGCAGACACTGGCTGCAGTCCTACAAGAGCCAACAAGCAGGTGTGGATGGAGCTTCTGTGGATGTGAAGCAGATGTCAAGCAGCATTTCTACTTACTTGCTTGCAAAAACCATCCATCAGGTCTGTCTGACGTGGGGCAGGAAGGTGGGAACTGGGTGAGATGTGGCACAGATCCGTTCTGGCCTCCTCTACGTCATCCTCCTCCAGCCCCATTAAAAGTGTCTGCTCCAGAAGAGTGGTTTCTGCTGGAGTGTGGGACTGGATGATGCTGCTGCAGCCTCTTACTGCCAAGGATAGCCCTCGTTTTGTCTTGTCCCGTTGATCTGAATGGAGTAATTTATAAGGACATTTTCCATGAATCAATAAATCCATGCTCGCTGCTGTGCCTGGGAGGCTTAATTTGCTCTAGATACTGCACCGAGTATCTCTGTCCTGAATTGCACTGCGAAGTCCTGCCCTTTGGGAGAGGATGGGGATACAGCTGGATCCTCCAGGAACGCACTGCGGGCAGCGGATGGTGCCCGGTCTCTTAATTGTGCATCTCCCAACATGGGCTGAAGAGGTTAGGGAGGGTGTAAGTGCAATAGTTTCTCTAGGTATGGTGTGGAGCTTGAGGAATTTGCCCCGTGTGCCAAGCAATTCCTGATGTTACAGTGCTTGGGGAACTGAAGCCAAAAATTGAAGGAGAGGAGGGAGCATTGGCCTTTGGGAGGAAACCATGGCACAGAAATCTCGCTTACAGGTAGATTTCCCTTGGAGATCTCTGCATGATGCTTCCTGTGGAGAGGAATTGAAAAATTCCTGTTGCACTGTGCCACCTCCCTTTCCAAAAACTTTTGCCAGCCAAGGGGTGTGCAACTTTTGAAAGCGATGAAGAAGCCTACTGTGGGATCTGCCCAAATAAAGAGGGTTCAAAACCCAGCTCTGCTACAGACAGAGAAGTCAAAGATAACCCCAAGCTTGTTTCCCCTGCTTTGTCCAAGGGCCGTGCTCCGCTGGGGCTGGAGGGGTGGTCACGGGTGGGTTCATCCCCTGGGAGGTGGCTTTGCTTTCTGCTGCATGCCGTGGGTTTGGGGTGTTTTGTGAGGGGTGCAAGGCTGTTGTTGGGTGCAGGAGGTGGCTTCTGACTTGTTCTTGGGTCATGGTGGGTATTTTTGGGAATCTCTGAGCTGATGGGGTATGGACTGGGGTCAACCCAGTTCCCATGGGTGCCTGGAGCCCAGCTCTGCATCCCACCCCACCTGCCCAGCTGAGCCCCTGGGAGCCCCTCTGTTTCTCCTTCAGAGTGGCCCTAAGACCATTTTGCAGCTCTTGGAGGTCAGAACTTGCATTGGGAAACCCAGAAACGTTTCCAGAGCCAAACCACGCCACGGCAAGCGGGTGTGTGCCTGGTCTCTGCTTCTCATTTCCTTCGTCGCTGCAGAGAGCAGCTGAGCTGCACACAGGGTTTCAGCAGGGTGTCCCCTCTTTTGTTCCTATAGGTCAGAAACGTCTGTGCATGTCTTTATATTAAAAAAAAAAAAAAAAAAAAATTAACATGGCTGGCTGTGAGCTGTGCCACTCAGGACTGGTCTGGTTGGGCAAAGGAGGGATGTTGCATGCAGCTGCCTACCTGTTGCGCTGGCAGCTGTGTGATGGTCCTGCCAGTCCAGCTGTGTTTACACTTGGAAAAAAAAAACAAAAAAACCAAACAAGTGTTTACAGGGAACTACCCAAACTTGCTCAAACCCAGCTAGAAAGTCTCCCTCTGATGGGAACAGTTTTTGGAATAAGTCTCGCAGCACCGGTGGCAAGGTCCAGTTGCTGTTATTGTATCGCAGCCTGACCCAAACCTTCCCACGTGTATCCATCGTGCGTTTTCTGTCCCCGTTTTCCTGCATGTTTGCTGGCACATTGGGATAAAACTGATGCATCTCTTGGTGATTGGGCTGAATGTGGGCTTGCTGTTCATCACGCTGCTGCCCATCCTCTGGGACAGCGAATGCACAAGGTCAAAGCATCATCGTGCCAAGAGCAAACTGGAGCAGACATATAAAGCTGTCATTTTAAATAATGGCCAGGATGGTTGCTCCTCCCTTTCCTCTCACCCCTGTCCCCATGTGCTTCCCCGGCACCCTGTGTCTTTCCCCACCCACCACCCGGGGGCTGGCTGGCTCTGTTCAGGATTTATGTGAAAAGGGAAATTTTATGTACGTAATTAAAACATCGTATTGATGAGTAGAAATGGAATTTGGTGCTTACTGCTGTGACTCTTTCTCACGTAAGAGGGTGAACGGATTGATTACTGAGGTTTGAGATTAAATATTCCCCTGAGATCTACTGGCATTTAATGTGGTGGGGGAGGGCAGAGAGGAGGAGGAAAGCAGTGGTTTTCCTCCAAGGCGAGGAGAGCAGGGGAATGTCTACTGAGCACATCCCCTTGTCTTGCTCTCCACGCCGTCTGCTGTAACGGAGGCTCCTGGTGCTGGCATCGTGGACCGTGATAAATCAGTGCCTTACTCTGCATCCGTGATGGTGGATGACCTACTGGTGGGCTCTGCCAGTTCCTCTCACTGCCGAGTCAAGCATCCCATTGCATCCCATCCTGTCCCCGTGACTCAGCTGCATCCTCACCTCCCTGGTCTGACCCCTGCTCAGGTCCCTGAGAGCTCTGCAGCAGGGTAGACCTGCTGTCCCCTCCCTTCTCCCTCAGCACACACCTTATTTATTTATTTTCCTTGATTTCTTTTAATCCAAAAAACCCCTCTCTTTTTGATTTCGATGGGAGGGGAGGGAAAACCCTGATGCGCCGCTCCTCCAGCACGCGGTGGGAGCCTTGCCATGCCAGCGCAGGTTGAGACGCTCGCCTTCGCCTGCGTCTGCGTTCCTTGAAGTCTAATTTTAGCTGAAGGCGACGGGATCCCTCCGGGGTACGGCGGAGGTTTCCTGTCAACCTAGACCTTAAGAAACATGCACGCAAACAAAAACAGCGCAGAAGCTCTTAGGTTTATTTGGGTAAATTCTTTTTAAAAAAGGGTGTGACTTATTTTTGTGAGCAGCCCCGGTGCACACCGGCTTTGTTCTGCTGCAGTCGGGTATTTCAGGTCTCCCAAGATTTAATCAGAATAATTAGTTACTGTCTGTTTATACCTTCTGTTTTCATTGCAGGGTTTCCAAAGGGCGTATTTATCTTCCACAGTGCTGCCTAAGTGTCGCTTAATCATCAAGTATCTGATTTCCTCCAAGTTATCTGTCATGCTGCTTATGTGAGTAAATAAAAAAAAAAAGAACGGAGAGAGGGTGGGGATGGTGTTGGTGGATTGTGCTTGGGGGAGAGTTGTAAAGATTTCTCCTGATTTTCATGGGTTTAATTGGTTCCCAGCCTGTCATGCGGTGATCAGAGGACTGCGTGTTTGGACTGGCGCTTAATGACCCAGCCAGTTTAATGAGGTTGCTTTCAGCCAAGCCTTCATGTATACCCCACTAAACTGGCAAGAGCTGTGTTGCTCCCTGTCATTTTGGGAGGGGAAAATAAAAAAGTGGCTTTACAGAAATAAAGGGCTTTTGCTTTCACTTGTACAGTTACTCCTTTGACTCCTTAACCCAGTGGTATCCCTTGTAAAAATCACAGCTCTGCCTGGAAATAAACTACCGCTGTAAGCTGGCCAGGATTTGAAATTGGGTTGGTTTTGAGCCTGTATGTGCATGTTTGGTTTAGAAAGGGAGAGGGTGATGTACACATTTCCTCTCTTCCTAATGCGGGAGATGAGAAAGACACAGCAAAACACTGCAGAAGAGGATGGGGTGGCTGCAAAGCCTCGCACAAGACTCGTGGTTCTGAACCTACCCCTGGTTCCTGCTCGGCACCTAAATGGTATTTTTCCCTTCGGTATTTATGACTGAGAGCAGCTGAGGGCAGCCACTGTGCTGATGGCAGTGTGAGGCTGGACAATTGGTTTTTTCCTCCCCCGTTTTCCCTTTTTTCCTGAGCTGGGTTGGTAGGTGTTGGGTGCCGGGATGCTGGCTCGTTGGCTGCCCTTATCACCTCATTTATCATACCAGGTGTGCAGGTTCTGGGGGTGAGGTTTCGGGGTACACGCTGCTTCCCTGGTGGGTTTAGATTCTTTGAAATCCAGAAGCAGCCATCGCCACCAGCTTCTCTGCTCTCCATGTGATGGAGACCGTAAGTTTTTGAGGCCAGTAACTCTGTGTTAGCCCTTCTCGGGGATTATGGATGCACAGTGGGACTTTGCTCTACCATTCTGTGATTCCCCAGGAGAAGCTCGTTAGAGGGAAGGGACCAAGGTGAGTGCCAGGTGGGGCCATTGGGATCTGCACGGCTTTGGTGGCTTCAGTAGACCCAGCAAAATGCACTTGCATGGAGGCTAAGGTCGAAGTCCATCTCCTCACTGCATTTCTCGGGGAGATAAAGGTGCACCACTGTGTTGGAGCATGCGTTGGACTCGGTGCTGCGGCAGAGCTGAAGCCAAGCAGGTTCCCCATGCCCTGTCCACCTCACACAGCACCCAAGTGACATTTTGGGGAGATGCCGGCAAATCCTCTGTACCCTCTGGGACTGACGTCGTGGCTGTCACAGCCAGCGCCGGATTGTCAGTGGCTCTCGCTCTTTCTGCTCCAGTGTGCGTGGAGGTGAGAAAAGTCCGATGTGATGGATATATTCTTAAGGAAGGCTGTCGACCTGATTTTTATCTTGACATTTACCCAGCTGGAAAGCTGGTGGAGGTTCAGACGACACCTCCCGAAGCGCTGGGGATGTGTGATGTGCAGTGTGGCCATTGCTCCTGCCCGGCACAGCTCCTCCATCCACAGCAAGGGATGCCAGAGGGGGCGATGGGTCTCTAATCCCCATCCTACTGGTGTGTGCCTGCCTGCTTCGCTCAGCTTTTCACAGATCTGCTTGGTTTGGGCAGGGGGAGAGATGGGGAGGAGGAGCAGAGCTATGGGGAGTTGAGGAGGATGAAAGCATGGAGGGGAAGGGAGGTAGGCAGCCTTGTGGAGGTGGATGCTGGGAGGAAAAGGGGACGACATGGCTTGTTTGCCTGGTGCTTTAGAAGCTGCTCAGTTAAATGGAGCATTCATTAGGGAGCTATGTTTGACTTTTAAATAGCTTTGGAGCATGTGAATGTTCCATGTTGTTCTCTTGTCCCTCTGTGGCAGGAGTCACCTCCTGTCCCCATCTCTTTGAAGAACATCTCACTGTTAGAAGTCCACCTTGGGACACAGGAGGTGCAGCTTGGTGGCCACATGCTTTCAAAGAGCCCTTTCAGTTATCCCCAAGCTCCTTGTTGGTTTGGATTGACTTCTCCCAGCCTGGCCACTGCGACTCTTGGCCATCAGGACTGACCACAGGTCCCCTCTCCCATGGTCCCCACTGCACGCCAGAGGGTTTGGTGCTGGCTGGTCTGGGATGGGCTGCCTGGTCCTTTGTCACCTCTCTTTGAGCATCCCACTTAAGACAAAGCTGATGCCCCTTTGGCTTTCCTATGCTTTTGCAGGGCTGTGTGTTTCTCCTTGCCTTTCAGCCACCTGAAACTGGAAGATTTCAGCCTTCAGGAAACTGGAGGGTTATTTTTTCCTGGAATATCGTATTTCCCCAGTTTTCACTTGGCGCAGAACTGGCTGTTCTTTGTGCGCTTGGGCATCCTGCTAACTGGTAAAGGAAACTCATAGCATTTAGTTGTATTTAATTCCTGTAGAAAATGAAGGTATTTCAGGCTGTTTCCTCTTCTTGGGCCCCAGAACAACTCAACGCTGTCATGGAGGATGCCAAAGTCAGGCACAAATCCTAAGGGTGGGGATGCAGAGGATGTTTGCTCTCTGGAAAACTTCATCTCAGTTAAGGATGGGGAATATTCCCCCACACTATAGCCACCCTTGGGGTACGGGCTGTGTCCTCCTGTGCGAGCAGACCGTGTCTACCGTGTGCCTCTGAGGTGTCCCCAGGCACGGTGCCACTTCCCTGCCCTCACCCCCTGCCATGGGCCCACCAGCCACTTCCAGATGTGACAGGGGAGAAGGTTTGGAAGGAGCACACCCCATTTTCCTCGTAAAACTCCAAACGAGAGGCTTGGCCTGGTTTAGATTTTAAAAATAACTTACACATTTGGAAGCTAAAGTTTCAGAAGGGCTCTGAATGGGATAATGGCTTTGATCATGGCAGTCCAAGATCAAGGGACGGCTTTTTAGGTTTGCTGGATCAGCTGGAAAATATATTGTAGTGTCTAGACTTTATCATCCTCGAGCAAGGCTACTTTTTTTTTTTTTTTTTTTTCAGCTCTACAAAAGGTCTAATCAAAAGCCCACATACAGTTGATGGCAGGGCTCCTTCAGAAAGGAGCCTGCTTTGGGTTTTGATTGGCTCCAGAAGCAAGTTGAAAGAGGTGGAGATCAGCTGTGGACTTTGAAGGAGCTCTGAGACTCTGCTTTACGGGCACCACCATTTCCAATCAGGCTATTGGCATGGGTAGAAGCCGTTGTGTCAGCAGCAAGGTGAGGAGGCTGGGGCTGGGGACCTGCCCTGTGCCAGCCCCCTGGTCCCCAGAGCGGTTGGTTCTTGCTGCTGAGCACTGCTGAGACCTCACTGCTCACCCTCTCGCTGCTGCGGCTGGGGTCAGCTGCTCAGAACAGCATCTTCCACAACATCTCAATTTTGTCTGTGTAATAACCATAAATGTCCACGTTTGTTGGTGTTTGGACAGAACTTCATCATTTCTTGCTTAAGTGTAGAATGTGTATGTTTTTCTCTCTTTCCATAAGTGCGTTTTAAAAAAATTTTGTTTCAAATTATTTTTATTTTATTATTTTCAATAATTCCAAAGGATTAGAAGCAGAGGAATGATTTTGTAAGGTGCTTGGAATAAACTCAAAAGCCTGCCATGAAGGTGAGGACATCTGGCCATGTGCATTCACTGCCTCTCTCTTCCTGAAAGCCCAAGTAGCCATGGAGCTGTGTCACATTGGAAGATGCCCGGTTAAGAAAGCAGAGGCTGTTTTTTCTTCGAAATGCTGTTTTTTCTGCTCAAGGGTCTTGGGTGTGTTTTGTCAGGTGTGTCATTGGAAAACTCATTGCCAAGCATCTCCTCAGCAGGCACAGCCGTGCACCGCGATGCTGCACTCAAATGGCACGGGCTGCAACCGTAGCCTGAGGCTTTGGTGGAGTCACAGCCTCGCTGTGAAAGCTTCAGCTGGAAGCTTTGGAAAACATTTGGAAATGTTTCGGAAAACATTTGGATCGAGGATGTCGTAGCTCCACGTCTGGTTGTTTTCCTTTGCTTTGTCCTTGAGAGAGGGAGCTGCTCTTGGGTTTCTGTTTTTCCTTTCCATCAATTACTCTTTTAGATATATTTATTTCTAGGGATGAATAAGAGTAAATGCCAGCATATAAACAGTTTCCAGTGTAAAATGACATTAAAATTGGGCTGTAAGGGATCTTGAGAGGTTACCTTGTCCCCACGGCAGGGTCAGTTGAACCCATGCATTGAACTGGAAGGCAATCGTGTTTGCTGGGAGTTGTTTTCTCATAAATTATCTCAGGAGCTGAGGCCAAAATCTACCAACTAATGCTGTCAGTATGTGTCTGTAGGCCTCCCTCGGTTTATTCAAATCATTTGCTTAATAAGTGTTGAAAATTAATGCTGGGTTTGTTCCCAGAGCTATTCAAAGTAATATTGCAGAGTAACCTTTTCCACCTTGGCATTTGCCAAAGTACTGCAGCTTTCATAGACAGGATGCATTTACCCGTAGTCTGTATTTGATGTGGAGCTGTCCCCGTTTCCCCCCATTTCTGAGACACCCAGACCCCAGAAGCTCCACTGGGATGAAGAACAGTTTTTTCTTTTTCTTGTGAATTAGATGAGACTTTTCAGTTCTCCAGGTGGTCCCTGCTTGAGCTGGAGGGGCAGCCACAGAAAGCTCTCAGACCCACCCCAACAACATGGGGTAGTTTGGGATGCTGCAGTGCCAGCCCCATGGAAATCTATGGCAACCTCTCCCCTTGACATCTACATGCTTAGATAAAGCAGTGAGATCCTGGGCAGTGGTGGGAGAGGAGAAGTCTCACTAGAAATCCTCATCTGCTTTGAGACTGAGAACCAAGCGATGACTTTCAATTAATTTCTCCTGCATCTTCCTCTGTCCCAGCTTGGTGTCATGAGCGATGGATCAAAAAAAAACTATACGTGAGAGCCCTAGCTTAATCCCCTCACCTTTTAAAGATGCTGCAGAGCTCCAGTGGGTATTTTTTCCT